AAACTCAGCATAAAAGAAGAAATATTTAGGTGTTTCACAAATCTAAACAAATAGGTGAAAAATGTATATGTAAAGAGCTATAAAATATTGCTGAGAGAAATTTTAACAGATCTAAATAGACAGATCTTGTTCATGGATTAGTAGACTCAATATTGTTAAGATGGCAACTTTCCCAAATTTATCCACAGATTCATTACCAATCAGTATTCCAGCAGCTATTTTTTTTAAGATTTTATTTATTTATTGACACAAAGAGAGAGAGAGAGAGAGCACAAACAAGGGGAGTGGCAGGCAGAGGTAGAGGGAGGGGGAGCCCAATATGCGGGGCTCCATCCCAGCATCTGAAGATCATGACCTGAGCCGAAGGCAGACACTTAACCGACTGAGCCAGCCAGGCGTCCCCAGCAGGTATTTTTGAAGAAAATGACAAGCCAATTCTTAAATTTACATGGAAATGCAAAGGACCTATAATAACCCAATAACCTTGTTTTTAAAAAAAAAAAAAAAAAAAAAGGACATGGGGCACCACGTCGGGCTCTCTGCTCAGCAGGGAGTCTGGCTCTCCCTCTCCCTCTACCCTCCCCCCCACCTGTGTGCATGCACTTGCTCTGTCTCTAATAAATAAAATCTTAAAAATATATATATTAGGGCACCTGGGTGGCTCAATCGGTTAAGCGTCTGCCTTCAACTCAGGTCATGATCCCAGGACCCTGGGATCAAGTCCAGCATCGGGCTCCCTGCTCAGTGGGGAGTCTGCTTCTCCCCACCTTGTGTTCACTCTCTCTCTTTCACTCTCCCTCTCAAATAGATGAATAAAATCTTAAATATATATGTACGTATATAAAATATATATACGTACATATATATATATTTTAAAAACAGAATAAAGGTAAAGACCTACCTGATCTTGACACTTACTGTGAAGTTATACGGATCAAACCAGTGTAGTTTTGGTGAAAGGTCAGACACATAGATCAATGGACAGAACAGAGTCCAGAAAAGACCCCATACTAATATGGCCAGTGAGTTTTTCACAGGTGCAAAGGTAATTTATTTATTTTTTTTAAAGATTTATTTATTTATTTATTTGAGAGAGAGAGAATGAGAGAGAGAGAGCATGAGAGGGAGGAGGGTCAGAGGAAGAAGCAGACTCCCTCCCGAGCAGGGAGCCCGATGCGGGACTCGATCTAGGGACTCCGGGATCATGACCTGAGCCGAAGGCAGTCGCTTAACCAACTGAGCCACCCAGGCGCCCCAAAGGTAATTTAATAGAGAAAGGAATCTTTTCCAAAAATCATGCTGAAATAAACATCCACATGCAAAAAAGAATCTCAAATATGCCTCACACATGATACAAAAATTAACTCAAAATGGATCATATACCTAAACAGAGTATGTAAAACCATACAACTTGCACAAAAGAATCTCTGTGACCTTGGATTAGGCAGAGTTCCTTTTTTTTTTTTTTTTTAATGCTCTACACCCAACATGGGGCTTGAACTCCCAACCCCAAGGTCAAGAGTCACACGCTCCACCAACTGAGCCAGCCGGGCGCCTCAGGATTAGGCAGCATTCCTTGATATGACACCAAAACCATATTCCATAAAAGTAAAACCTGAAGTATCTCCCCATACCTAACACTAAAACAATCTGAGCAAAATAAATAATGACACCATTGCACTGTAACTCAAATAATAAAATAAATACCCATGAGTCCACACTCACATAAAAACTGAATAAATAAACGAGGAAGAAGGACAGCTCTTCTTTATAGAAAATCCCAATTATTAGATGTAGAAGGAATGAAAGGAATAAAAAAATTGTAACAACACAGTAATAATTCTTGCAGGCAATCCACCAATGGATGCTAAAATTAGTGGGGAAAAGTTTGAGGAGAAACAGGATACATGCATAGTTTTAATGTATCTTCTGCAAGGAGTGCCTGGGTGGCCCGGTCAGTTAAGCATCTATCTGACTCTTGATTTCGGCTCAGATCATGATCTCAGGGTCATGGGATAGAGCCCCGAGTCTGGCTCTGTGATCAGTGGAGAGTCCGCTTGGGATTCTCTTTCCCTTTCCCTCTGCCCCTCCACCCCCTCTCTAAAATAAATAAGTAAAATATTTTTTTAAAAAATAAGGTATCTCCTGCAAGATATGTACTAATTACAAAAGAAATAAGGGCATATAACAAAATAATGATCAAACATTTCACCAAAAATTATCTACAAGTGGCCAATAAACACATGAAAACATGCTCTACATTACTCTTCCTTAGAGAAATGCAAGTTCAAACCGCAAGGAAATACACCTACTAAAATGGAGAAAATGTAAGCGTCTGGCAACTACTGGAAAGGACGCGGATCAGTTGTGAATCTCACACCCACTGGTGGGAGTGTAAAATGGTACAGCTGCTTTGGAAAATGCGTCAGCAGTTCCTCATAAAGCTCCGGAAATGTCCCTCCTAGTGATTTACCCAAGAACAATGAAAACTTGTGTCCATCAAAGGCCTATATGTGAATGTATGGAGCAGCTTCAGGCAAAACCTGGAAACAACCCAAACGTCCATCAACTGGTGAACCAGTAACTGGTGGTGTGTCTGTGGGATGGAACACTACTCAGCAATGAGAAGAACAAATGCGAATGAGTCTCCAAAGCATCGTACCAGGCAAAGACAGCTGCATACTGTACGTGAGCACGGGCAGGACACTGCAGAGAGAACCACACGGATGCAGTGAGGTGGCAGACGAGACCGGGCTGAGAACGAAAGCCTGCAAGAGGCAATGAGAGAGCTTTCGGGGTGAGAGAAATGTCCCATATGCTGACGGTGGCGGCAGTTACAGAACTGTATTACATGTTTCAAAACTCACTGGGTACGTTTCATTGAATGCAAATTATATTTCAATAAATCTGACAGTAAGAAACAACGTGAATCTCCGCATTACTAACAGAATAAAGAAGAAACACTGTATGATCATCTTAATAGAGACAGAAAAACACTAGCACAATTCAATACATGATAAAACTGAAAATTAGGAAAAGAACTTCCTTAATCTGATACAACATATCTATAAAAAGTTGGGGCACCTGGGTGGCTCAGTCGGTTAAGCCTCTGCCTTTGGCTCAGGTCATGATCCCGGGGTCCTGGGATAGAGTCCCACATCGGGCTCCTTGCTCAGCAGAGAGTCTGCTTCTCCCTCTCCCTCTGCCCCTCCCCCTGCTCATGCTCACTCTCTCTCTCTGTCAAATAAATAAATATAATCTTTAAAAAAAATGTATCTACAAAAAGTCTACAACTCTCTCATGCATAACAAGGAATTCAGGGGCGCCTGGCTGGCTGTTAAGCATCCGACTCTTGATTTCGGCTCAGGTGGTGATCTCAGGATCATGAGATTGAACCCCATGTCAGGCTCCATGCCCAATAGGGAGTCTGCTCTAGAATCTCACTCTCTCTCTCTCTCTCTCCCCCTCTGCCCCTCCACCTCCCCACTTCTAAAAACAAAACAAAACCCCAAAAAACAAGAATAATACGGAGTGCCTTCCCCCAAGTTCAGACGAAATGTGCATGATCACCACTAGTATTTGCAATAAGAAAAAGAAATCACAGGGGCACCTGGCTGGCTCAGTCCATTAAGCATCTGCCTTCAGCTCAGGTCAAGATCTCAGGATCCTAGGATCCAGCCCTGCATGGGCTCCCTGAGCAGGGAGCCTGCTTCTCCCTCTCCCTCCGCCCCTCCCCTGATCATGCTTGTGCTCTCTCTCTCTCTCAAGTAAATAAATAAAATTTTAAAAAGAAAGAGAGAAAGAATGAAAGAATGGAAGGAAGGAAGGAAGGAAGGAAGGAAGGAAGGAAGGAAGGGAAGGAGGGAGGGAGGGAGGGAGGAAGGAAAAAAAAGAAATCACAAGGGATGCCTAGGTGGCTCAGTCAGCTAAGCGTCTGCTTTCAGCTCAGGTCATGATCTCAGGGTCCTGGGATCAAGCCCCGAGTCAGGTTCCCTGCTCCATGGGGACCCTGCTTCTCCCTGTCCCACTCCCCCTGCTGGTGTGCTCACTTGCTCTCACTCTCTCTCTCTCAAATAAATAAATAAAATCTTTAAAAAAATTGAAATCACAGGTGCTCGTTGTAAAACCAATTTTTAAGCTGAATAAAGTCTTTATTCATTTGTCTGTATGTGTTATAATTCACAATAAAAAATACAGTATTTCAAAAAAATTTCAGAAGGCCTAATCCTATGACCTAGCAATTCACCCAACAAAAATCAAATGCAGATGTTCACCCAAAGATCTGTGTAGAATGTTCACAGCAGCACCATTCAGAGTAGCCTCCAACTAGAAACTATCCTAATGCCCATTAAGAGTTGAATGAAGGGCACCTGAGTGGCTCAGTCGGTTAAGCGTCTGCCTCCGGCTCAGGTCATGATCCCAGGGTACTGGGATCGAGCCCCAGGTCGGGCTCCCTGCTCAGTGAGGAGTCTGCTTCTCCCTCTCCCACTCCCCCTCTCGTGGTCTCTCTCTCTCTTAAGCTCTCTCTCAAATAAAATCTTAAAAAAAAAAAAAAGTTGAACGGATACAGAAAATGTTGAATACTCAAACAACAGAATACTAGACAGCAATGAAAATGAACAATCTACAATCAACAGCGTGGGCCAATTTCATAAACACAACAAGATGAGTGGAAAAATGCAGTCACTAGGCATACAAACACAGGATTCCACTCATATGAAGTACAAAACAGGCGAACCAAACTGGGCTGCCAGAAGTCAGCGTAATGGCCCCCACGGGTGAGGTGCTGGTAATAACTGAAAGGGACAACCGAGGGAACAGGGAATACTCTGTTTCTTGATCTGGTTGTTGGTTGCACGGGTGTCTTCAGTCTCCGAAAATTCAAGGAACTACGATATCTTAGGACACATGCAGTTTTCTACATATTATACTTTATATCATATTTCAATAAAGAGGATCTTTCTTTAATTACAAAAGAAGAAAAGAGAAAGAAAGCCTACCCATCGGAATGAAGAGTCCACCGTCCTCTGTCTCATCCTCAGCTTGCGGAGCCAGAGTCCCGAATGGCTTTTCCTGAGGACAGGCACAGATACCTGGCTGAGGGGACTTCCCAGGCTGGGCTCCTGGTTTTGCAGAGTGGCTGCCTAACGGCAGCGAAGGTATCGCCCCTCCAGAGTGCAACTGAGGTTTTCCTGGAAGAATCACAAGTATTGCTCCACACTTTGCCCATTATCAATCATACCAGGTTATAAAAATCAGCATTTAGTTATAAAGTCCTTTATAGATGGGTAACTTCATTAATGATGCATACACCATATAGGCATTCTCCTCTCACTTACAGGGTCCTAAGAAATCAAAAGCTCAGTTCCAACGTACTCACCTATGTCAGGGTGTTGAACTACATAATGGCTATGGTCTCCTACTTTTTTTTTTTTTTTTCCTCTTAATTTTAAGCAGGCTCCACTCCCAATATGGGGCTTGAACTCATGACCCTGAGATTAGGAGTCACACACTCTACCGACTGAGCCAGCCAGGCACCCCAAGGTCTTTCTACTTCTAATATGCTTTGAGTTATGCATTTTTTTCCTATGGAGAAATGAGAACCATAATTGTGGGGTGGGGTCTGTTATAGTCCTGATGACAAAGGGACATTTTATACAGACAACCATTAATACCGCATTTAACCCACTATAAGTGATATCCATTATAAATGTCCTGAACTTTCTGACTCTATAAATTCTACAGAGCATTAGAGTAAAAATCACCGTAAAATTATCAATACACGGTTCTACAGTTCCTCAGACAACTTTCCCCTCTTCACCTCTACTCTTAAGGAGTGCTACTTTCTTCTGGGGAAGATGGGGCATTTAAAAAGCAAGGATGGGGTGCCTGGGTGGCTCAGTCATTAAGCGTCTGCCTTCCACTCGGGTTATGATCCCAGAGTTCTGGGATCGAGCCCCGCATCAGGTTCCCTGCTCCGCGGGAAGCCTGCTTCTCCCTCTCCCACTCCCCCTGCTTGTGTTCCCTCTCTCGCTGTGTCTCTCTCTGTCAAATAAATAAATAAAATCTTTAAAAAAAAAAAAAAGCAAGGAAACATTCATGCTGTAGCAAAAGTCGACATGAGAACCAACTTGTCATGGGGAGGAGAACACAGGCAGAACAGGCGTGCTGAACAGTGACTGCTTGCTCCTGAGACAAGAACCTGGGGGCAAGAGCAGAGGGAAAGGGTGCCCAACTTTTCACGGTGCGCTGTCGGCATCTATGAATTGTTTTCATGTCTGTGTATTACACAGTCAAAACATGTTCAAAAAGAGATCAAATTATTTATCACTGAGCTCTATGCAGAGCAGCCCTTAGGCTGTGACCTGCTGTCTCATCGACACTGGGACTTTCAACCAGTGTAAACATGGTTTTAAATTGGACCATCCTCTCCCCCAACAGAGAAAAAAAAGCTTTAAAGAAGCCATGAATCAATCCTGACTTGCATGTACTCTCAATCTTCTATGCTTCACTTCCAGAGCCCATGAGTACTCCACAACATCAAAACGTCCCACGGCTTTGCCTTTCACAGGGACTGGACAAAGAGATCCCAAATCGGTCAAATCCAAAGTTGCTCTCAGCCAAATTTCTTAGAAAAGAGAACTTCAATAAACAGCATAGTGATCTCCTTCATCAACAATCTTGAACAAGTTGTACAATTAATGATGTCAACATTTTCAAAACTGAACCAACATAAAAGATTTTTTAAACAAACATGCCAGAAATTCACTTTGGTAGTTTCCATTGATACTTCTACTACCTAAAATGTATTTGGAACAACTCTAACACTGTCCGCACAGTTTACCAGCCATTCAGAAAATGTTTTTCCTTTCTTTTAAGTTTTATTGATTTAAGTAATCTCTACACCCAACGTGGGGCTCAAACTCATGATCCTGAGATCAAGTCACACGCTCTTCCAACTGAGCCAGCCAGGCACCCCAAAAATGTTCCTTTTCAGTGACCACATCACATTGCTTCTCAATTTAACTCCCGTCTCAGAGAACCCCGCAGGAATCCCACTCTTCCTTTTCTGTATCCATGTGTTAGATGCTCAGAGCCCCTAGAAAGGGAAGCTGAGAAGGGTATGGCAGAGCAGGGGAAGCCTTACACAGAACACATCTGTAACTTATTTACTGCCAGCCTAAGAACTGTGAATTGATAACATGAAAATAATTAGCTGAGAACTGTACAACTAATTATAAGCTGAAATCTGCCTAAGTTAATCATTTTATTTATTTATTTTTTTTAAGATTTTATTTATTTGACAGAGAGAGAGAGACACCGAGAGAGGGAACACAAGCAGGGGGAGTGGGAGAGGGAGAAGCAGGCTTCCCGCGGAGCAGGGAGCCCGATGCGAGGCTCGATCCCAGGACCCTGGGATCATGACCTGAGCTGAAGGCAGACGCTTAACGACTGAGCCACCCAGGTGCCCCCTAACTTAATCATTTTAGAAGGCAAAGGAAAAGAAGCATAAGTAGAAATTAGGGTATATAAATCAATTTTAAAAGAACAATTAAAATTCTGACCAAAAAAAAGAGGGAGCGGTAGGGGTTAAAATTCTGTTAGAATACACACCAACACAAGGAAGGTTTAATCACTAGCACCTGCAGCCTAGAAACATGATTTCAGAGTACCCACTGTAACAAAATGCTGATACAGTAGCCCCTGCCTATCCCCTGGGACACAGGTTCCAAAAGCTCCAGTGATGCCTGAAACTTCCCATAGTACTGAACCCTATATACACTGTTTTTTTCCTATACGGACCTATGATAGTTTAATTTATAAATTCGGCAGTGAGATTAACAGTAACTAATAACAGAACAATTATAACAGTGTACTGTAATAAAAGTTAAACAAATGGGGTCCCTCCCTCTCTCAAACTATCTTACTATCCTGTACTCACCCCTCTTCTTATGATGATGTGAGCTGATGTGATGCCTACATGGGGTGGTGAAGTGAGGGGAGGGCCGTAGGCGCAGTGACACAGCATTAGGCTACTACTGACCTGATAACGAGGTGAAGTCAGGATCACCTGCTTCCAGACTGAGGCTGACTACGGATAACTGAAGCCACGGATAAGGGGGCATTACCACACTTCAAAATAACCCAGAGTTTTTTGGTTTTGTTTTTTTTCTACAAAACTGTAATACTACACGTTACTTAAAAGAAAGCAAAACAGGGGCGCCTGGGTGGCTCAGTCGTTAAGCGTCTGCCTTCAGCTCAGGTCATGATCCCAGGGTCCTGAGATCGAGCCCCGCATCGGGCTCCCTGCTCAGCGGGGAGCCTGCTTCTCTCTCTGCTGCTCCCCCTGCTTGTGCTCTCTCTCTGTCTCTGACAAATAAATAAATAATAAAATCTTTAAAACAAAACAAATACACACTAATTTTCTTTTTTTTTTTTTTTTTAAGATTTTACTTTTAAGTAGTCTCTACACCAAACACAGGACTCAAACTTACAACCCGGAGATCAAGAGTTGCACACTCCAAAGAATGAGTTGGCCAGACGCCCCTACACTACATTTTAATGATTACTGTGCATAGTAAGATTTCTTTATTTTCTTCCTTAAACTTTTCATTATTCAAAATGCATACATATGGGGCGCCTGGGTGGCTCTGTTAAGCGTCTGCCTTCGGCTCAGGTCATGATCCCGGGGTCCTAGGATTGAGCCCCGCATCAGGCTCCCTGATTGGTGGGAAGCCTGCTTCTCCCTCTCCCACTCCCCCTGCTTGTGTTCCCTCTCTCCCTGTGTCTCTCTCTGTCAAATAAATAAATAAAATCTTTTTAAAAAATGCATATATATGAATTTTCAATCTTCTTTCTTCCTTTCTGTTTTGTATGTTACATTTCTAGCCCGCAAAAAAAAAAGGTACTGGGGGGGAAAAAAGGATTCTGGATAGACACTCATAAGGTCCTTCTTTTACTGGTATTACAGCTCATTAAAAGTGCAAGGTGGTAGAATCCACTTTCAATTATCTAGCTTAAAGAAGGGGAGTTGTATTACAGATAATCCTAAACAAATGTTTATTTTATTCACCTACACTTGGACATCTGTAAACTAACCATTGAAAACATCTCTAGATTCCACTCCTCAACAGCTGAGTGACTTTGAACCCCTAGTGAATTACCCGTTCCTTCCCTACGAGCACTGGAATCCTGTATCCTCTCCAGGTCCCCCACCTTCATGTCACAGACAAAGCCAAGCTTGAAGAAGACCTGTCAGGGATCCCACTGCCCTTCTGGCCACATCTCCGTCCTCCTGCTGCAAAACAGCCAGTGCTGCTGTCATTCTCCCTCCAGAGTTCCATCATCTGCTCTCCTCGTCCCAGAAACTCTCCGGCGCCCCCTCTCAACCACCTCCAAGCTGCAAGCACAGCCTTCTGTCGCGCCCCATCATCCTTCTCTCTCCTTTGTCACT